TCAAGACGCTTTGCGGAAACTGCGGACGCAGCTATTTTTTGGCGATCGTTTTGCGATAGCCAGGTCGATTCTGAAGAAGAGCTATAGTTTAGCTCAGTGAGCCTTACCTGGTAAGATAAATATACAATAACAACATGTCTATAGACACCGACAATCATTGGCAAGGGTCATTCGGTCCACAGAACTAACGTACCCTCGTCCGATGCACATTTACTTATTTTAATGTTCACGAGGAAACTCCCTTGAGCTGTAGTAACATCGCTTTTTTTGCAAGGCTGCCCGGGAGTGTCAATTGACAGGTGCGGAGCACACACGACGGAAACGTGAGTGCAAACATCGTGCCAGGACTTTAACCCCCAACGTTCGGGAAGGATCCCCCCCCACCCTCCTTTCCCCCTTTATACATCCGAGGTGCAGAGAGTTCAGAAAACTTTCAACGTCGCCAAGGTCACTATCGTTCGGCGATGTTTTTGATAGGCGTAGGTCACTCTTGCGAATGAGATGATCCAAGTCTGGTTCATGATCCAAGTCTGGTGTGTTCTCACCCCGGGTAAACGAAATAAACTGCAAACCTGTCTCTCAAAACCTTGGCTTGCCAGTGGCAATCGGTGAGTTGAACTCAGCGTCTGGTCTGACGGCGCTCTTCCTGGATTTTAGCAACCGGTCTCTCAAGACGACGCATCCTGTCATTAGCTTCAAGTTATATTTTAAAGGAGAGTAAACCCTGTCTGAAGCTTTCGTGACTGCAGGAATCCATACTCTTTGGTTCTTTTGGTAAAGTCGAGGTTACGCTGCACGCCTCGGTAATCGGGCAACGTAGCGGTGAAGAGGGGAAAAAAGTCGCACAGAGAAGAAGAAGACGACGAATACCCGATGATGAGAAGGACACTGGCACTACTTGGACACGTATGTAGGATAGACAACAACAGGAAACATTTTAAAAGTGTGTTGTTGAGAAAAATGGAAGGAACCGGAAAGCGACGACAGAAGAGGTTGGTGGCAGAAAGATGTGGCCACTACTTGAGCATGTTGGCACAAGACAGATGAAAGTGGAAACAAATGACGAAATGTGCAGTAGACACCTATGGGATATCTGCCCATGGATCGTGAAAATGATGACTCAACACTCAAGCTGTGGTGAACCACGGTAACCGGCCACCCGAGTTCAATTCCAAACCACGGCTAACATCAGTGGCAAGCGGTATCAGAACTAGTCCTGCCGTATGTCCAGTATGTTTGTTGAACTTCTTTCGCACCGTACGTAGCCAACCGTGCTGATCGGCGGTGCGGGGGAAGGAGCCTGAGCTGAGCCCCACCGTCACCAACCCACCCTGCCCAGCGTGGTGAAGTACTGACAACAAACAACACCCATGATGAGTGTCGTGAGGCCTTCCTTCTTTGGGAGATTTAACATGGGTGGGATTTATATATTTCCTTACATTTAAAAATAAATCGTACTACCATAATTTATTCAACCACAATGTTACGGACAATGCTCTAAAAGTGTAATCATAGCCAACTCTTGAGATTCACATCCCACGTTACCGTTGGTCCTTCCGCACAAAATGTACGCAACTAGCAACCGCAACCGATTACAATGGCGCACAAGCATCGTACGCCGTTACTACACGCATTGTAAACGTGAACAAATACAGTTAACTGTTGAAATTAAAACGATAAAAGTATCAATCGCCGTAAGATTGAGCGCAGAGCATGCGAGTTACGTGGCACAAAGGATAAATGTTTACTCTCACGGCAAATCGATGTTTAATTGGTCAGTGAAGGCCCGAGCGGAATCGGTCTCGCATGGAGATGTCGACGTTTCCGATCCCAGATGGCATAGACCGAGAGATCTCCGTTGCCAGGCTTGGGAGAGGGCCCTGTTCTTATATCAGCTCTGGCTCAGACTCTAACACTCAGGCTTAGATCGGGCTTAATCCAGTTATTTAAAATCAACGTTAAAGATGTTTTTTCTTATTGTACCAGGTAAGGCCCACTGAGCTATGTAGCTCTTTTTCAGGAACGACCTGCCACAAATGATAGCTCAACGAAGTGGCGCATCATCGCGTGGAAATTCATAGCGGCCAAATATCTCGAAACGCACGTTGATTATAATACATGTGGAGGGAAAAACTGGAGAAAAATCCACGCGACCACGGGGAGAGAGAGACGCAAACTCCAAATATACAGCAGGCGTCAGGGTCGGGATCGAATCCACAACCTCCTGTACACCAGGCGAGGTAGTTAACATCTCCCCACCACGGCGCCGCTCGGTAACTTTTGTAGCGACAACGTAGATGTCATTGTCTGGTGCCGGCCCTAGCGAGGCACGGTGTGCGATGTACTCACATCACGGACATCACGTGTGTAGCGACATCGTAGATGTCACTGTGTAATGCCGGCTCGAGCAAGGCACGGCGTGCGATGTACTCACATCACGGACATCACGATGTACTCACATCACGTGTGTAAGGACATCGTAGATGTCACTGTGTAATGCCGGCTCTAGCGAGGCACGGCGTGCGATGTACTCACATCGCGGACACCCCGTACATGTGGGTGTAGTACCAGCCCTAGAGGGGCTCGAGTAGCGCTGATAGAGGGCGCTGAGTGGCACCACGCTCGGCGTGCAGTGCTGTCCCCTATAGGAGGGGGGTGTGAGGGTGCCGGCCATGAATGTGGTTAATAAAGGCCATGGCACTCTGGTTGACCCTGGAAGGCACGTGACGGGTAAGATCTACACAGGGCCCCAAGTGGGGGGCTAGGGGTGGTCACGTGTCGGGCGAGATGCTGCTAGAGGTTTCGAGAAGGTGGTCGTGGCCAAGGGCGGGGCCAGCCATGACCCATGAGGATATAAGCCGGCTCCCCAGAGGGACCGGGGTTCAGCGTTGTTGTTGTTGTTATCCCGAAGATCGACGTTCTATGGCCGAGAAGAGTCACCAACACGTGGACCTGGACCCAAGCCGGGGTCCTGTGCGTTGTAGCCACTCCCAGTGTAACTAGTGTAGTGAACCTGGTGGTCCACCACCATAGTGTGTAGTTAGCCTGGTGGTCCACCACCATAGTGTGTAGTTAGCCTGGTGGTCCACCACCATAGTGTGTAGTTAGCCTGGTGGTCCACCACCATAGTGTGTAGTTAGCCTGGTGGTCCACCACCATAGTGTAGTTAGCCTGGTGGTCCACCACCATAGTGTGTAGTGAACCTGGTGGTCCACCACCATAGTGTGTAGTTAGCCTGGTGGTCCACCACCATAGTGTGTAGTTAGCCTGGTGGTCCACCACCATAGGGTGTAGTTAACCTGGTGGTCCACCACCATAGTGTGTAGTTAGCCTGGTGGTCCACCACCATAGTGTGTAGTTAGCCTGGTGGTCCACCACCATAGTGTGTAGTTAGCCTGGTGGTCCGCCACCATAGTGTGTAGTTAGCCTGGTGGTCCACCACCATAGTGTGTAGTTAGCCAGGTGGTCCACCACCATAGTGTGTAGTTAGCCTTGTGGTCCACCACCATAGTGTGTAGTTAGCCTGGTGGTCCACCACCATAGTGTGTAGTTAGCCTGGTGGTCCACCACCATAGTGTGTAGTTAGCCTGGTGGTCCACCACCATAGTGTGTAGTTAGCCTGGTGGTTCACCACCATAGTGTGTAGTTAGCCTGGTGGTCCACCACCATAGAGTGTAGTTAGCCTGGTGGTCCACCACCATAGTGTAGTTAGCCTGGTGGTCCACCACCATAGGTTGTTATCTGGTAAAGGGGCAGTTAACCCTTTGTGTTGGTATCAATAAATGTGTTGCCTCCAAAGAGTACGTCTGCGATTCAGGTGAATCCACTACACTTTCAAAGATACATGAGTGAGCGGCTCAGACGTGCCTCATCTCAGGCTCAGTTCACGGAAACGCTGAGCGTGGTTGGGACCATGGCCCAGAGTCGGCTCAGGTTGGGCACAGCTCTGAGGGCTCACTTGAACCATAGCCGAGCCATAGCCGAGCCTGAGCTAATAATACACGGGGGCCTTGGGTGTGAGAGACGTCTCTGAGCCGAGGGCAAGAGAAGAGGTTAGAGCAGTGGTTCTTATAACCTTTACTGGAGCCTTGCACCCCTTCAGTTCTCAATCGTAAAAATGTACAATGTCAATAACTACACAGGGTTTGATGGAACAAAGTGAGTTATACTTACGTGCCCGTGCTTAATTTGTATTCTCGATGATTTACCTTCTAAAACAATCTGGCCGTGTCTCGCACCCCCAGAAAGGGCATCTCGCACCCCCAGGGGGTGCAGCGAGCACCCCAGGTTAAGAAGAAGAACCACTGGGCTAGGGTGTGCAGAGATGGAGGGAGCGTGGCCAGTGTACATCGTTACGGGTTTCACGCCGACGAGCGACATTTACGTTAACTTGCCGAGTGCACTCGGGCAAATGTTTCGAATCCCATTGCGTCTCAGTGGAGGAGTTCTCTCGCCACACCGTCACAGGGTTTAACCAGGCGAATGAGTGGAATGGGAGAGGCGTTGTCGGAAGGAGATGCAGAATCAATGTGTAGTAACTGAACAATAAACTTGAGGTCAAGTGCCCACCCGGGGCGAGGCCTGGCTCGCCTGGTTACCCTTCCCAGGGAGCCGCGCATCTCTGGGCAAGGGATTCTGAGAGACTGGGGTAAAAGCCCAAGCCAGTCATTGTCATTATCATCATTGGCCATTATCTATTTACTACTGGATGAAGGCCGATGCAATGTCTCCGACTTGTTGTCCGATCCACGTGCTCTTTCTGCGGCTCGAGTAACATCCAGCATGCACCTCTCCAATGCTTGTATCGTCGTCATTATTCTCTATCCACGGCTGAAATTAAGATCAAATGAACATCTGTAACTTGGGTACGTTCTCTTCATCCACGTGATCCTCTCGGTGTACTGTAATACCCCCTCCCACACCCAGGGCATCACTTGAGACATCAGTGGCAGGAGCCTTGCAAATAAAATGTAAATTTTGATTATTATTAAAACGTAGCATTTTTATACACATTTTATTTGCTGTCCAGGTTTATAACCAGTGTCAGAGCGGGTACTACCACTTGCACTCATTAATACATGTATGAAACACTCATTAATTCGCTGAAAACATCTTAATATGTAGAGGTACTGCAAACCTTGGACAATTGTCGGCAGTGCCGGCTCCCTGCCTGGCAGCCTTCCCGCTTCTCTGCAGCTCCTCGGTGATTGGGAGAAACAATTTACACAAATGACGACGCCACTAAATGAAATTAAACATTAAGTAAAAAAAATACGAGCAAACACAAAGGAATGTAAATGGCATAGGCAGTTCTGTTATTAGCGAGGCTTTCCTGGAGAGCGGGCATCATCGTTACAATTATCGTCGTCATCATGTCAGAGTGATGTCAAAGCAAAATTGACGCCCTCCAAATCACGATTTGATCTCACGGCCGCCCAAGTGCGTATGTCACTCACGTACGTACACACACGCGTACGTACACACACGCGTACGTACACACACGCGTACGTACACACACGCGTACGTACACACGCGCGCGCACGGTGGAACTGCTGCTGCCTCGGGACGAAGTGGTGGGCTCCGTGTGCACGGGAAAAAGGAGGAAGAGAGGCCCCCGTCTTGGATCGGACGCAAAACAATGCGACGACGCGTCAACGTTGAAATCGCACGCGAGCACCGCAGGGGGACAACCTGTGGGCAAGCTTCGTCGGCTACCCCTCGCAGGGTCGTTCCCTCCCGGGGGCTCTGCGCCTGCCCCACGCGATCGGGCATGGCGGTGGAGAGCGGCGGCACGCAGTGTGGTGTGGGGGGGGGGGTTGGGGGCGTTGTCGCCCCTCCGGGTGAGCGGGGCTCCGGCCGTGCCCGCCGGGCGCGAGAGTGACGAGGCGCCGTTCCTCGGTCCCGACGGCTGCGTTGTGGCCGCTCGTCGAGCTTTGGGGGGGAGGGGCCCCCGCCATCTCCCCCCCCCCCCCTCCCTAACGGCACCGCGACCACCCTCCCGTCAGGGTTAAACGAGACGGGGGGCGGCACCAAGACGCCGGAGTTTACGTCACTTTATTCACCAAGCTACTAAAATGCAATTGCTATATATACATTTTTTTTTTCAGAGTGCGACACTTAATTGTAAGAAAATGTAAATAATTTAGCGATTCCTTTTTTAATAAACCTGTACATCACGAATACCTATAAACCAGAATCCATTTTACAAGTAATGCAGGAAGAGGAACGGTGATACACGAGTCAACGGAGGGGACGGCCTCACTCTCTCTTCCTCCTCGTCCTCACTCTCTCCTAGATCCTCGCCCTCTCCTCCTCACTCTCCTCCTCACGCACGAGCAACGAGCGGCGAGCGACGCTCCGGCGGCAGTCCGGTCCCCCCCCCCCCCGCTCCTCGTGGGGGGGACCGCCGGGGCCCTTGCTGGCTCCCACCGCCGGCGGCCCCCGCAACATTCCGCGTCGCCCTCTCTCCTGCACCAGGCGGGCCTTGCTGTGCAAATTACTATTATTATTATTATTTTACAAAATACAAACCGAGTTCCAACCCCCCCCCCAACCTCCCCTCGTTACATCTTGAAATGCTGGTGACAGGCCTGTCCCACCCGGGAGTGACACGGGAGAGGGATGCGTACAACAATAATAATAAGTCGCCATCGGCTACTAATGTAGTGTGCAGGGGTGGGGGGGGGGGGTGGTCCAGTTCCTACGAGACGAACGGGGGGCACGCGCCCTCAAAGCGAGGAGGAGCGGCGGGCACGGTCGTCAGAGCCCCCCCCCCCCCCCCCCGCGTCGCCTCGGCCAACACCCCCTGGGGTCGTGGAGCGGGCGAGCGAGCGGGCCCTCGCAGGGAGAGAACCTTCGCGAAGGTCGCCAACGCGGCACTGGACAGCGACGCGGTTGAACAAAAAAAAATGTGGGAACAGCGCAACACCCAGAAAGCCCCCGGGATTCCGAATCGAACGCCGCCGCGTACGGCAGGAGACACAGGGCCCCCCCGCTTCGCCGAGTCGGCCACCAGGGACAAGCCGACGACCTGGGAACCGAGTCTCATTATTGCCTCTCCCCGCAAAACCAACCCCCCCTCCCCCCCAATAGCCGCTACTAACTCTATATAGCCAACGGGCGGCGGACAAGGGAGCTTAGCAAAATCTTTTAATTAGCATTAATTAGCTTAATTGGCAGCAGATCTGAGCGCATTCCTGCGCCCGGGCTCTTTGAGAGGCGAGTGGTGGGCGGCGGTGGGGGGGGAGGGGGGGTGTGGGCGGCCGTGGGGGGAGTGTGGAGGCGGTGGCTTGCAGGCGGCCCCCCCGGAGCGCGGATAATGAGCCCCGTGGGGGGGGGGGCAGAGGAGGAGGCCCGGCCCCCCGCCTCCTCGCTCATGGGAACGCCGCGCGGCGCCGCGGAGCCGCTAATTAAATCGTTTCAGGCTTGAATGAAGGCACCTGGGCGGTATTATTGCAGATCCCTTCAGCAGACCTGCGGAAGAAAAAGGCGAAATAAGAGTCTCGCGTTAATGAATAATTAGCGAGGCGTTTGAGCGTTCGAGGCAGAGTTGAGGGTGGGAGGGTGCGGTGACAGGGCCGGCCAAAGGGAGAATGTATTTAAAGTTGAGCTGGTCAAGGCAGCCCACTATACCGGCTTAGACTAATGGGTAATTTAAAACGCCTGTTTTCACAAACAGCCTTTCACTGCGGCACAAAGCCCTAATGGCCATCATTTGGTGCAAAAGTGGCCCAATTAAATGAAAAAATGTCCCAAGTCCCGCTTACGGCCAACCGCTGATTAAGTTGTTCGTGGAATTTCTGATTAGCCCGCTCTGCCAAACGTCGTCAGAAATCTTAACAAGCTGCAGTCCGGTGCAGCGATTTTTATTATTATTATTATCACAAAGCAAAGTCTTCAGCAGGCGTTCCCCACAAACACAGCCGCAACGCGGTTCGACACTGCGGCACCACTCTGCGCGTCGCTTTGCTCGCACCCGGCAATCCCTCCCGAAGCTTACGGACAACTCCACACCGCCGTGAGAAACAACGAGCGCCCGCGTACGTTAACTCGTTGCACCAGCGGTGCTGAGCATTGTCGGGTTAACGGCTGCGGTGCTCATGAGGCCCGAGCGCTCCAAACGACTGAAGCCGAGCGGCGAACTCCTCGGGATGAGCGAGCGGGCACGGGACTCGTGTCACCGTTCCTCTTCCTGCATTATTTGTAAAATGGATTCTGGTTTATAGGTATTCGTGGCGTACAGGTGTATTAAAAAAGGAATCGCTAAATTAGTTACTTTTTCTTACAATTAAGTGTCGCACTCTGCTCAGCCAAACGACGACGCCGGCGAAATCGTTGAGCGAAAAAGTCCAAAGAGAAATCAACGCTCTTCCGATTACACTCGCCCCCGCGGAACAGCCCGACGACTGGAGGTTGTTGCACAGCGGGCCAATGGAAACCCGGGCGGTGAAAAGCGTCGACGTTTTATTTGTGCTCGATGCGTGCTAAAGGGCCCCCCCCCTTTTCTAAACCGAGGAGCGCTCGCCTGCACTCGGCGTGCACCCCCTTACGCCTCATTACATCACCGAGCGTCTTCACGAGGCACCGAACCCGGGTGGGGGGGTGGAAGCCGCCGTGCGGCGTTTAACCAGCGGCCGTGTCGCCGCGAGCACGCAACCGAGAGTGAGACGGCGGTACTTAAATAAAAACGGCATCACGTCGAGCGACGTGAGAAGAACTACTCGCACTCGAGGCCACCCCCCCACCTCGCTCGAAATTTACGCGAAAACGCGCGGCGGCGGCGGCGGCGCGAGGGGCTCCGTTTGGTAAGAGGCGCTCTGCGGGCACGACGCGCCCTCGCATCGCCGCTCTCGTTCAGCTCGCACAACCCCCCCCCCCCCCCCCGAGTGAGCGAGATGGCACCGGTGCGGCGGTGCCGTCTCGCTCACTCGCAGCCTTCCCCACACTGTCACGACGACGATGATGGCGACGACGATGACAACGGCGACGACGATGACGTCCATTCCATCCCACTCTCGCAATCATCTCTCGACCCCCGAAAAAGGTCAATCTGACCGAAGCGGCGCTTGCAGCTGGAGCCAGGGGGTGCGAGCCACCTGCCGCATGCCGAGGGCCGGAGGCCCGCGAGTGGCGAGCGGCACTCTGAGCCCCCACCCCCCCCTCCACCCACCGACAGCGGCGTCATCGATCGTGCCAGGAGCGTGAATTGCGCGCGGGATTACGAGGCAGTGCGGATTTCCAGCTCCCTCTCGCCCTCCTCCCTCTAACGAGACGACGCTCTTCCTTTTGAGTCCGGATTTAGCTGCAATTTAAAGTTGACCTCTCGCGCAAATGTCCGGGACAAAATAATCTAAATTAGGAAGATGTCAGAGCTCCACCGATTTCATAGCCCAAATGATTTTGCATTCACAAGGAGAGGAGTTTTGTTTTCCGCAGCCCTTGAGCTGTGTTTGTTTATATTTCTGCCATGTTTACGCTGCGCGCGCATGCATGGGGCACGCGATAACGATCGTTATCGAAGGTAGCTCTGCCTTCGACACGACCAAGTGGGCTCTGGGGAGATTTACGCCATCTCCACGCCGTTGGGTGACCAGGGAGCCGGGATAGCAACCCACAAGGGCCGTCCACGACGGGGTGCGGGGCCTGGGGCAAAACCCACCGTGTGGGTTACCGACGCCTTCAAACTGAAGTGGAAGTGTTACATCCCACGGCGTGACGTCGAAGCGCGGGGGCCCCCCCAAAGAGCGGGGCCCGGGCGGTCACCCTGATTTGTCGTACCCTCGGGACGGCTCCGGGCGCCCAATCCCCACCGAGACAAGATAGGCCAGGAGGAGCCGGGCACCGGTGCTCTGGACGGTCCGCGTTGGGGTCACGGCCCAAAGGTGTGGCAAATTCCTCATTCCTATGCCGAGGGCGAGTCTATCCGTAGGGCAACCGCTGTTGGCGTCCCCACGTGGCGGTGTTCTTTTAATCGACTCTGGAGGGATTGAGAGTCGAAAGCAGGATGTGTACTCGTGACCTTCCGATTGCGAACCGCTTGACACCTTGGCACTCGACAAAACCACTGAGGACTAAAACACGTGCCACGCGTCACACCGTCCGTCTGCATATAAATTCGGCAGAGGGGACATCGACTCGCCACCAAGTGGCACGTGCCGAGTAAGCGCGTACGAACGAAGCGGCTTTTTTTTTACTCTTGAACGTAGTGATGCGCCCGGCGCGTGTTACTGCCGAAGCAAGGCTCTTCGGAAGTTCTGGTGTTGCGATGGAAGAGGCTCGTTTTAAAATGATGATTGTTATTTTTTACAACTGGTATGAACTTCACGAAGACCAAATTAGTGCCAGGAGTGCCGAGGGTTTCTTCGCGAGGATAGAGAAAAGTCTCAATCTACAGTTTAAATCGGCTCGTAATTGGCGGTGGGGTTTGTCTAAACGTCGCGTGGCGAGCTTCATATCTTCGCTCACTCGCCAGTTGGACGCAAGGGTTCTGTAGGAAGTGGTCTTTTTAAAAAAAAAATATAAAACCTACGTCTAATTCAGTTGCGCACCTCCGAAAAAAGCAAATGTAGCAAACTATTTGTGCTTAACGCTCGCTCTTGTTTGCATCGATCTCACCCATGAAGCTTCTCACCAATTCTCTGTAATCTGCGCCGTGGGCACATCCGAGATGGCTTTCCCTTCTCTCCAGTTCAAGCCGTCTTTTCCCCAAATTTAGATCTCCGATTGTTTAGGGGTTTTTGTTTTAGTGGAACGGACCTAGGTAAGAGAATATAATCGTTGTACTTCCCCTTCGGACTTTCATGGCCATAGCTCTCTTCCCGCAACCTCAATGTAGCCGGTCCCTTGTTGATAAAAAAAAAAAAATTCCACATTTTCCGTGTGGTTTTCATTGCAGTCACTGGCCTACGAGCTCCACTTTCACCGACAAAAACAAATTCCCCTCTCAAAATGAGGACAATCCAGGCACACTCTGGTATCTTGACACGCCTGTCATTTCCAGAATCCGGTGGCCTGTGCAGGCAAAGCGGGATAAATTCCTGCCCGTTATCGCACTCGACCACGACGTTAGTTAGGCCCTCACATTCCCACAGTTTGATTTCCGAAACATCTCGTGAACTATATATATTCGGTGTGAGAGAGGAGTAATGGGGTATTTAATCCTTCAAATCGAGCCGTTTTTACCTTTTTTGTAAATAGAAGAGCGATTAAGGTCTGGATGCAACGGTTGATGAAGCCTTTCATTGCTGCGTAAACATTTAATAAGCAGATCGGACTCGTTTATAATTGGAACAGCTGGTTCTGCTCCTCTAATGATGTCCACGGTTATTCCATCTGGTGCAGCGGGAGCTTCTGCTTTTTCCACGCGGCAGAGGGAGATGGTTTACCCGTTTCCCATGTGGTGGTACCCGGTGCCATGGCAACCTCGTTCTGTGGGGGTTACCAATTCAAGTATATTTTGTGCACGGCTCAATTTGGTAACAAAAAAAATCCCTCCGCTATTTTTACAATTCTGAGTACCGCTTTGGGGGGGGGAGATTGCCAAGGCCCCATCATAAAAAAAATAAGTACCACCTTGCGGAAGAAATCAAAGCGGTTGTCCCCATGGATAGACTTGTGCCCCTGCCATGGGAACGTGGAACTTCCACCACGGCTCAGGGGGTGTAAAGCAGTAGATGAGCGCCAATGACTCCCTTGTGCTCATTTGAGCAGAGGCAGCGGCGAGATGAGTTAATTCCCTGATGTGTCATCAAGCTTCTCTTGACCAAGCGTCATGCATTCCTCTGAACTTGGCCACTGGATACGGTACATGACCCTTTCCCAGAAACACTCGCAGCCTCGTCACATAACGAACGCTAAGCAGGGTTTGAGCCTAGATAGCACGAAGATTGGCAACCCCAGCACTTACCAGTGTGATGAAGGATGATCGAAAAACCCTCACAACCTGCACAGCGTGGGCAGGCCCCTCGTGACCATGATGGGTGACTGGGGGGTGAGTGTCCCGTGACCATGATGGGTCACTGGGGGGGTGAGTGTCCCGTGAGTGCGATGGGTCACTGGGGGGGTGAGTGTCCCGTGACCATGATGGGTCACTGGGGGGGTGAGTGTCCCGTGACCATGATGGGTCACTGGGGGGTGAGTGTCCCGTGAGTGCGATGGGTCACTGAGGGGTGAGTGTCCCGTGAGTGCGATGGGTCACTGGGGGGGTGAGTGTCCCGTGACCATGATGGGTCACTGGGGGGGTGAGTGTCCCGTGACCATGATGGGTCACTGAGGGGTGAGTGTCCCGTGAGTGCGATGGGTCACTGGGGCGGGTGAGTGTCCCGTGACCATGATGGGTGACTGGGGGGTGAGTGTCCCGTGACCATGATGGGTCACTGAGGGGTGAGTGTCCCGTGAGTGCGATGGGTCACTGGGGGGGTGAGTGTCCCGTGACCATGATGGGTGACTGGGGGGGGGGGGGGTGAGTGTCCCGTGAGTGCGATGGGTCACTGGGGGGGTGAGTGTCCCATGAGTGACTGATTGGCACGTTGGCGTGTGAGCTGCACGGGGGTGAGTGCGATGCATCACCGGTGTCGTGAGCTGATCGCACCTTCTGGTCGGGGAGAAGCGATGCGGAGGGCAGCGGGGGTAGGTGTGTGCCCAGGTGCGGCGCGGCCCCCGGGGGCAGCACCCCGCCGGGACGATCGTGCTCGCAGAAGAGGCGGCCGTTCAGGTAGTGGAACCGGTCCCCGGGCAGCAGGCGCGTCCGGCACACGGCGCAGGTGAAACACTGAGTCGGGGGAGGGGGGGGGTGGGCAATGGATACTGGCATCGGCAACAACGCAGGACCACGGAGATGGGGGGTGTGTTCGGCGTTCGTTAAAACATTTTTAGGAATGCCGGCGGAGAGGAGCGAGCAGGGATTTCACTGGGAGTGGGTCGGGCCTGTCGTGAGTTGGTGGCACCGCGACCCGGCTTTCAAGCGCCAAGAATATTTTTCGTTTCAGCAGGGGAGGAACTTGGCGCACGAGGATCGTCCCAGGATGAGAGGCAACACAAGAGGAACTTCGCGCGGCGTGGGCTATTTATGCCTCGCCAGAGATGGAAATTCCACATTCCCATGGAGCTGTCCAGTCTCACTATCGGTTGATCGCGTTGACCCTTTAACAAAGTGGTATTCATGTTCTACGCCTGTGAGACCCGACAGGCTCAATCGACCCCTGACCCAGATTTTTGGGGCGCCGCGGTGGCGAGATTTTAACTACCCACGGGAGGTCGTCGGTTCGATCCCGACCCCGACGTGTGTATATTTGGAGTGTGCATGTTCTCCCCGTGGTAGTGTTAATTTTCCTCCGGGTCCTCTGTCGCGGTCGCGCCATCGTCGATCTCTACTGCCTGCCGGCAGAGGCGCTGTCAGAGTCTAGGCGCGACGTGATGACGCTGTGGGCCGATTGCCGTTGACGCATCCGCCGACAGCACAGACCGGACGAGTGTCAGGGCCCGCAGGTGGAAGTTGCAGGTTTCAGGGGACGCCAGCGGTGTCATCGCCTATCGACCTCGCGCTGCAGAGGAACTCCACGTGTCCTGACGTTGGGTTGACGCTTCCGATGGTCGGAAGTGCTCACGGTGGAGCAGACCGGGCGAGCCATTGTCCGGTCGCCATCACGGCCGCCTCTGACCTCTCCTGGTTCAGCAGGAAGTTCCGTGACCAGCACCAGCGCTGAAGGGCCTCTACGCAAGCCACAGGCGTTAGGGTCAGCTCTGGAGGTGACCTCAGCCGTTGAGGCGGGGGGAGATTTCGAGAAGTGGGTTTTTTCCACGTTCGCGATCGCCATCTCGCCGGCCTTTATCATACGCATCCTCTCCCAAAGATCGAGTTGGCAAAACACCGTTGCCTGGTCTATCGTCAGATCCTGACTGCGGTACTGCGGGTTGTGATGAGAGTAGAGTTGGCGCGTCTGTGGAAAGCGCAGAATTGCCAAAGTAGTGTCGAAAGGGTTCACCTCGGGCTGCAGGGTGTGGGGGCCACCGTGGGCCCCAGCCACCGGGGGTCCCAGCCTTCGGGACGGATTTTTGAGGCAAGGTTCCAGTCAAAAGTGTCCAAGATCTTGCGACGTCCTGCCCATAAAATCGCACCTCGAGCGTCGTCCGAAGAATCGTCATCGTCGCCGTCAGCACGGAATATCTCCAGATCATCGGTGGCCGTGAGACAGCAAGTTATCCTCAATTGAGCAACCTACAATTGGCTCAAGCAGCATTAGCAAGTGCTGACAAACAGAGGTCAGTTGCCAGCAGACGCATTTGACTCGTGTCACAAAACATGCAGCATGTGACGCTGCTATTTAGAAACAAAGGGCGGAGCGGCGGCAAAGTGGTTAGCGCGCCACGCTAGGAAACCCTGCCGAGCTCGACTCCCGGCCATGGCCAACAACAGCAGCGAGCGGTAATGGGACTGGTCCTTCCTCCGCTCTCCTCTCCTTCACAAACCCACACTGACCAGGGTGGTGAAGTATGGCTAAACAACACCATGACCAACACGTCACGGAGAGGCCTTCACATAGCGGTGGATTAACAAGGGCTTATATTATTCAGACTGTAGTGCGGTGTGCTTTCAGTTGGAGGCATTGTTTGTTTATATTCTTATTGTCGTTATGGTGCGCATTTGCGGCATACATGCATTGGCGCCTGTGATTAATTGGCTCGTGGCAGTCGGCCGGTGAATCTGACAAGGTATTTCTGTAACGACGACGCAGGAATGCAATGCCCTCTTTGTTACACAGCAGACGGCATTGTGGGACAGCGTGTAGTTTAAACGCGGCAGCACCGTTCAGGCATTAATCTCATTAGTTTCATTTTCTCGGAAGCGGCCTGAACGGAGCGAAGTGAAAAGGGAGTTTAACGTCCGCATAAGAATGTCGCGATAGCAGGTCACGGGTCGCAAGTCGCGCCGACGCAGGGGGACAATTCCAGCGCCGCCGAGATCCTGGCCGCCGGCGTCTCTCTACCGCGGGGCGGTTCATAACGCCCACGTCGCAGACACCGAGGTGCCCCCGCCGCCGAGACCGCGGTCTGCGCGAAGCCGACGTCTCGCCGCGCGACGCGGAAGCTGCCCGTGCCGGCTCGGCTCCCCGAGCGACGTATCGAGAGACGGGTTTTAGCGCGTCGACAACCGCTCCCCTTCGCCGGAGCCGCCGGGGCCATTCGTCCCATCGGTCGCCGCCGCCCCGAAAACCTCGTCAAGCCGATCCCGCTGGTGCGCCGCTCTGGGTGCAAAGCTCCCCACCCCGCCCCCCCGCATCGCAACGCTCCCCGCACAACCACCTTGCCGCGTAAAACCTTCGTTCGTTACGCAGAATTATTACCGTTTTCATATCTTCTTGACTGTTTTTTTTTGTATTGTGGTAAGGACACGAGCCCAGTGCAACGCACCACGCCGCTAGCTCAGCGCACCACACCGCGGTTGGGGGGGCGAGGACTATCGGCGTTTCAGAGCTATACTTAGGTGGGGGTGGTGGTATCTCATCTTATTAGTAGAATTGTACACGACGTGATAGCGGTTGAGATAAAGAGGGGGGTTGTTATTAAAAGGGCTTGTGTAGCTATGGTGACAGGAAAACAGGCTGGAGTGGTTAAGCAAGGGTTGGGTTAGTGATCGGGGTAGTGATCGGGGTAGTGATCGGGGTAGTGGTAGGGGTAGTGGTAGGGGTAGTGGTAGGGGTAGTGGTAGGGGTAGTGGTAGGGGTAGTGGTAGGGGTAGCGATAGGGGTAGGGGTAGTGGTAGCGATAGGGGTAGCGATAGGGGTAGCGATAGGGGTAGCGATAGGGGTAGCGATAGGGGTAGCGATAGGGGTAGCGGTAGTGATCGGGGTAGTGATAGTGATAGGGGGTAGTGATGGGGGTAGTGATGGGGGTAGTGATGGGGGTATTGGTAGGGGTAGTGATAGGGGGTAGTGGTGGGGGTAGTGATAGGGGTAGTGATAGGGGTTGGGGTAGTGATAGGGGTTGGGGTAGTGATAGGGGTTGGAGTAGTGATAGGGGTTGGAGTAGTGATAGGGGTTGGGGTAGTAATAGGGGTTGGGGTAGTGATAGGGGTAGTGATAGGGGTAGTGATAGGGGTAGTGAGGGGGGTTGGGGTAGTGATAGGGGTTAGGGTAGTGATATGGGTTAGGGTAGTGATTGGGGTAGTGATAGGGGTTGTGATAGTAACAGGGGTTGGGGTAGTGATAGGGGTAGTGATAGGGGTAGTGGTAGGGGTAGTGGTAGCCCTGGTCATAGCTGGGGTGCGTGGGCAGGGAGTATCAGAAGCAGGATGATGACGATGGGCTGGAGGGAAGTGGAGGTTGTTTTAAGGGAGGAGCGGAGGCAGGCGAGTGAAGATGATTTTTATTAAGTGTCACTATCACAGTTTGTTTATGCGGAATGCCAATCTCCATCATAATCAGCAGCCTATCTTATCGGCTGCTGAATGACAGCCACCTGTGTTGCCAAGTGCCCTTGGGTTCCATACCCAAGGGCACTTGATCTAACATACGAATGGCTGCGATTTCGTGAATTCTGAATCAGAATCTTGATTTATCCTGGAGAAATCCGATGAGCTGTGAAGCTCTTTTTCGCAGGTGTCAGGCACTGAAAGTCCGCCGTTCCAGGCTTCGAGCGATTCCACGTGGCCGCGTGTCTTTGCGCGGTCGGTGCGAGCCCGGCCGCACAGCACAGGCAGTCAACAACACCGGGGGGGTTACACACGTTCGGCCATCGCCACTGCCGCCGCTACTGCCGTGACACATTCGATGATTGGGGGGGGAGGGGGAGGGCACCCTTCAGGATCCCCCAAAAACCACATGCTCCTTGGTGCTGTGGGGCAGCAACAGCAGCAACAACAGCAGCAACAGAAGCAGCAACAGCAGCAACAACATCAGCAACAGCAACAACAGCAGCAATAACAGCAGCAACAACAACAACAGCAGCAATAACAGCAGCAACAACAGCAGCAACATCAGCAACAGCAACAACAGCAGCAATAACAGCAGCAACAGCAACGACAACAGCAACAGCAGCAGCAACAACAGCATCAGCAACAACAACAGCAGCATCAACAGTAGCAACAGCAGCAATAACAGCAGCAACAGCAGCAGCAACAGCAGCAACAACAGCAGCAGCAACGACAACAGCAACAGCAGCAGCAACAACAGCATCAACAGCAGCAACAACAGCATCAACAGCAGCAACAACAGCAACAGAAGCAGCAGCAACAGCAGCAACATCAGCAACAGCAGCAACAGCAGCAGTAACAACAGCAGCAACAGCAGCAGTAACAATAGCAACAGCTCGGGTAGCGTTTATCCAGTCTGCTGCCGGACGTATTCGTGACCCAGGTCTTCTTTCGTCTTCCCCATGTTTTGTTTCTTCGAGCGCTCCCTGTCGAGACACCGGTCTTCTCCAGTCTGACATTGTTGCTGCTATTGCTGCTGCTGCTATTGCTGATATTGCTGCTGGTGCTATTGCTGCTGGTGCTATTGCTATTGCTGCTGCTATTGCTGCTGCTGCTGCTATTGCTGCTGCTGCTGCTGTCGCCAGACAACCACTGCCGTTTCCCACCTCTCAATGACGGTCGGCGAGGGGCTCTTGTTTTTCCAGATGTGGAGCTAATAATAATAATGGCCTTGCTGCGCGTCGTCATTCGATGTTCCTTTCGAGATTTAAGGAAACCCTCAGGACATTGCGGTTGACGTTTTCATTGCAAATGCTGGCAGACGTTCCTCCGCCTCGACTGTGACAGTCAAAGCTGTCGCAGCCGCGCACGGCACTGACAACGTTTTTGGCAGCCCCCGACGAAACGAAACTATTTTTATTTTACCAAGAAGGCCAACTGAGCTACAGATCTTTCTCAGAAGTGAACTCTAAACGAACAATTGGCAAAACATCCCTCTATGTGCTCTCTGTGTGCTCTCTGTGTGTGCTTGCTGTGTACTTGCTGTGTACACTCTGTGTGTACTCGCTGTGTTCTCTGTGTACTCGCTGTGTGTGCTCTCTGTGTGCTCTCTCTGTGTGCGCTCTCTGTGTGCTCTCTCTGTGTGCTCTCTCTGTGTGCGCTCTCTGTGTGCGCTCTCTGTGTGTGCTCTCTGTGTGTGCTCTCTGTGTGTGCTCTCTGTGTGCGCTCTCTGTGTGCGCTCTCTGTGTGCGCTCTCTGTGTGCGCTCTCTGTGTGCTCTCTCTGTGTGCGCTCTCTGTGTGCGCTCTCTGTGTGCGCTCTCTGTGTGCGCTCTCTGTGTGCGCTCTCTGTGTGTGCTCTGTGTACTTGCTGTGTGCTTGCTGTGTACTCGCTGTGTGCTGTGTACTTGCTGTGTACTCGCTGTGTGCTCTCCGCGTGCTGGCTGTGCCACCTGCATGCTTTGTGCTTGCTTTGTGCTTTCCGTGTGCTAGCCATGAACTTGCCGGGTGCTCACTGTGTACTTGCCGGGTGCTCTCTGCATGCTGCATGCTTGCTGTGCTCTCTGCATCGCTGTGTGCTCTCCGAGTACTCTGCGTGCTGCGTCGCGCCCTTGTGCGGTGCGATGCCCGTGTGGGGTACCCTCCTCTTTGTGTGGGGTACCCTGTCCGTGTGGGGTACCCTCCTCTCTGTGTGGGGTACCCTCCTCTCTGTGTGGGGTACCCTCCTCTCAGTGTGGGGTACCCTCTCTGTGTGGGGTACCCTCCTCTCAGTGTGGGGTACCCTCTCTGTGTGGGGTACCCTCCTCTCTGTGTGGGGTACCATCCTCTCCGTGTGGGGTACCCTCTCAGTGTGGGGTACCCTCTCAGTGTGGGGTACCCTCCTCTCCATGTGGGGTACCCTCTCAGTGTGGGGTACCCTGTCTGTGTGGGGTACCCTCCTCTCTGTGTGGGGTACCCTCCTCTCTGTGTGGGGTACCCTCCTCTCTGTGTGGGGTACCATCCTCTCTGTGTGGGGTACCATCCTCTCTGTGTGGGGTACCCTCTCAGTGTGGGGTACCCTCCTCTCAGTGTGGGGTACCCTCCTCTCAGTGTGGGGTACCCTCCTCTCTGTGTGGGGTACCCTCCTCTCTGTGTTGGGTACCCTCCTCTCCATGTGGGGTACCCTCTCTGTGTGGGGTACCCTCCTCTCTGTGTGGGGTACCCTCCTCTCTGTGTGGGGTACCCTCTCAGTGTGGGGTACCCTCTCAGTGTGGGGTACCCTCTCCGTGTGGGGTACCCTCTCAGTGTGGGGTACCCTGTCTGTGTGGGGTACCCTCCTCTCTGTGTGGGGGACCCTCCTCTCTGTGTGGGGTACCCTCCTCTCTGTGTGGGGTACCCTCCTCTCTGTGTGGGGTACCCTCCTCTCTGTGTGGGGTACCCTCCTCTCTGTGTGGGGTACCCTCCTCTCCATGTGGGGTACCCTCCTCTCCATGTGGGGTACCCTCTCTGTGTGGGGTACCCTCCTCTCTGTGTGGGGTACCCTCCTCTCTGTGTGGGGTACCCTCCTCTCTGTGTGGGGTACCCTCCTCTCTGTGTGGGGTACCCTCCTCTCTGTGTGGGGTACCCTCCTCTCTGTGTGGGGTACCCTCTCTGTGTGGGGTACCCTCCTCTCTGTGTGGGGTACCCTCTCTGTGTGGGGTACCCTCCTCTCTGTGTGGGGTACCCTCTCTGTGTTGGGTACCCTCCTCTGTGTGTGGGGTACCCTCCTCTCTGTGTGGGGTACCCTCCTCTCTGTGTGGGGTACCCTCCTCTCCGTGTGGGGTACCCTCTCAATGTGGGGTACCCTGTCTGTGTGGGGTACCCTCCTCTCTGTGTGGGGTACCCTCTCTGTGTGGGGTACCCTCCTCTCCGTGTGGGGTACCCTCTCAGTGTGGGGTACCCTGTCTGTGTGGGGTACCCTCCTCTCTGTGTGGGGTACCCTCCTCTCTGTGTGGGGTGCCCTCCTCTCCGTGTGGGGTACCCTCTCAGTCTGGGGTACCCTCCTCTCTGTGTGGGGTACCCTCTCAGTGTGGGGTACCCTGTCTGTGTGGGGTACCCTGTCTGTGTGGGGTACCCTGTCTGTGTGGGGTACCCTCCTCTCTGTGTGGGGTACCCTCCTCTCTGTGTGGGGTACCCTCCTCTCTGTGTGGGGTACCCTCTCTGTGTGGGGTACCCTCTCTGTGTGGGGTACCCTCCTCTCTGTGTGGGGTACCCTCCTCTCTGTGTGGGGTACCCTGTCTGTGTGGGGTACCCTGTCTGTGTGGGGTACCCTCCTCTCTGTGTGGGGTACCCTCCTCTCCGTGTGGGGTACCCTTTCTGTGTGGGGTACCCTCCTCTCTGTGTGGGGTACCCTGTCCGTGTGGGGTACCCTCCTCTCTGTGTGGGGTACCCTCCTCTCTGTGTGTGGTACCCTCCTCTCCGTGTGGGGTACCCTGTCCGTGTGGGGTACCCTCCTCTCTGTGTGGGGTACCCTCTCAGTGTGGGGTGCCCTCCTCTCCGAGTGCGGTACCCTCTCAGTGTGGGGTACCCTCTCTGTGTGGGGTACCCTCCTCTCTGTGTGGGGTACCCTCCTCTCTGTGTGGGGTACCCTCTCAGTGTGGGGTACCCTCCTCTCCGAGTGCGGTACCCTCTCAGTGTGGGGTACCCTGTCTGTGTGGGGTACCCTCCTCTCTGTGTGGGGTACCCTCCTCTCTGTGTGGGGTACCCTCTCAGTGTGGGGTACCCTCTCAGTGTGGGGTACCCTCTCCGTGTGGGGTACCCTCTCAGTGTGGGGTACCCTGTCTGTGTGGGGTACCCTCCTCTCTGTGTGGGGTACCCTCCTCTCTGTGTGGGGTACCCTCCTCTCTGTGTGGGGTACCCTCCTCTCTGTGTGGGGTACCCTCCTCTCTGTGTGGGGTACCCTCCTCTCCATGTGGGGTACCCTCTCAGTCTGGGGTACCCTCCTCTCTGTGTGGGGTACCCTCCTCTCTGTGTGGGGTACCCTCCTCTCTGTGTGGGGTACCCTCCTCTCTGTGTGGGGTACCCTCCTCTCTGTGTGGGGTACCCTCCTCTCTGTGTGGGGTACCCTCTCTGTGTGGGGTACCCTCCTCTCTGTGTGGGGTACCCTCTCTGTGTGGGGTACCCTCCTCTCTGTGTGGGGTACCCTCTCTGTGTTGGGTACCCTCCTCTGTGTGTGGGGTACCCTCCTCTCTGTGTGGGGTACCCTCCTCTCTGTGTGGGGTACCCTCCTCTCCGTGTGGGGTACCCTCTCAATGTGGGGTACCCTGTCTGTGTGGGGTACCCTCCTCTCTGTGTGGGGTACCCTCTCTGTGTGGGGTACCCTCCTCTCCGTGTGGGGTACCCTCTCAGTGTGGGGTACCCTGTCTGTGTGGGGTACCCTCCTCTCTGTGTGGGGTACCCTCCTCTCTGTGTGGGGTGCCCTCCTCTCCGTGTGGGGTACCCTCTCAGTCTGGGGTACCCTCCTCTCTGTGTGGGGTACCCTCTCAGTGTGGGGTACCCTGTCTGTGTGGGGTACCCTGTCTGTGTGGGGTACCCTGTCTGTGTGGGGTACCCTCCTCTCTGTGTGGGGTACCCTCCTCTCTGTGTGGGGTACCCTCCTCTCTGTGTGGGGTACCCTCTCTGTGTGGGGTACCCTCTCTGTGTGGGGTACCCTCCTCTCTGTGTGGGGTACCCTCCTCTCTGTGTGGGGTACCCTGTCTGTGTGGGGTACCCTGTCTGTGTGGGGTACCCTGTCTGTGTGGGGTACCCTCCTCTCTGTGTGGGGTACCCTCCTCTCCGTGTGGGGTACCCTCTCTGTGTGGGGTACCCTCCTCTCTGTGTGGGGTACCCTGTCCGTGTGGGGTACCCTCCTCTCTGTGTGGGGTACCCTCCTCTCTGTGTGTGGTACCCTCCTCTCCGTGTGGGGTACCCTGTCCGTGTGGGGTACCCTCCTCTCTGTGTGGGGTACCCTCTCAGTGTGGGGTGCCCTCCTCTCCGAGTGCGGTACCCTCTCAGTGTGGGGTACCCTCTCTGTGTGGGGTACCCTCCTCTCTGTGTGGGGTACCCTCCTCTCTGTGTGGGGTACCCTCTCAGTGTGGGGTACCCTCCTCTCCGAGTGCGGTACCCTCTCAGTGTGGGGTACCCTGTCTGTGTGGGGTACCCTCCTCTCTGTGTGGGGTACCCTCCTCTCTGTGTGGGGTACCCTCCTCTCTGTGTGTGGTACCCTCCTCTCCGTGTGGTACCCTCCTCTCCGTGTGGGGTACCCTGTCTGTGTGGGGTACCCTCCTCTCTGTGTGGGGTACCCTCCTCTCTGTGTGGGGTGCCCTCCTCTCTGTGTGGGGTGCCCTGTCCGTGTGGGGTACCCTCTCTGTGTGGGGTACCTTCTCAGTGTGGGGTACCCTCCTCTCTGTGTGGGGTACCCTCTCAGTGTGGGGTACCCTCCTCTCTGTGTGGGGTGCCCTCCTCTCTGTGTGGGGTGCCCTCCTCTCTGTGTGCGGTGCCCTCTCCATTCTGCACCTTCAGGTGGTAGACGCTGCCCTGTGCGCGCATGACGAGCTCGCTGGCGGGGATGGAGACGCTGCACGCGCTGCACGCACCGCTGTGCCCAAACATCCTGCACGAGAGATAGAGAGGGAGAAAGAACAAGCAGTTAGCCGCCATCGAGAGCGAGAGAGGGAGAACGAACAAGCAGTTAGCCGCCATCGAGAGCGAGCGAGCGAGCGGGGGACCTTGGCAGCGTACACCGAACGGAGCGGTGGCGCAGCGGCGGGCCGGGGGGGGATGAACGTAGCCGGGGGCAACGACACGCGGCGGTGAACATCGAGGCCACGGAGACACCACGAGCAACGGTCCTTCAGCCAATCCCACGCCGAGAAGCGATCCCAAACCGTACACGATTTAAAAAGAAAAAAACGCAAGCGTGTTTTATATATACAGTGAGGGAAAAAAGTATTTGATCCCTGCTGATTTTGTACGTTTGCCCACTGACAAAGAAATGATCAGTCAATCATTTTAATGGTAGGTTTATTTGAACAGTGAGAGACAGAATAACAACAAAACAATCCAGAAAAACGCATATAAAAAAAATATAAATTTATTTGCATTTTAATGAGGGAAATAAGTATTTGACCCCATCTCAATCAGAAAGATTTCTGGCTCCCAGGTGTCTTTTATACAGGTAACGAGCTGAGATTAGGAGCACACTCTTAAAGGGAGTGCTCCTAATCTCAGCTTGTTACCTGTATAAAAGACACCTGTCCACAGAAGCAATCAATCAATCAGATTCCAAACTCTCCACCATGGCCAAGACCAAAGAGCTCTCCAAGGATGTCAGGGACAAGATTGTAGACCTACACAAGGCTGGAATGGGCTACAAGACCATTGCCAAGCAGCTTGGTGAGAAGGTGACAACAGTTGGTGCGATTATTCGCAAATGGAAGAAACACAAAAGAACTGTGAATCTCCCTCGGCCTGGGGCTCCATGCAAGATCTCACCTCGTGGAGTTGCAATGATCATGAGAACGGTGAGGAATCAGCCCAGAACTACACGGGAAGATCTTGTCAATGATCTCAAGGCAGCTGGGACCATAGTCACCAAGAAAACAATTGGTAACACACTACGCCGTGAAGGACTGAAATCCTGCAGCGCCCGCAAGGTCCCCCTGCTCAAGAAAGCACATATACATGCCCATCTGAAGTTTGCCAATGAATATCTGAATGATTCAGAGGACAACTGGGTGAAAGTGTTATGGTCAGATGAGACCAAAATGGAGCTCTTTGGCATCAACTCAACTCGCCGTGTTTGGAGGAGGAGGAATGCTGCCTATGACCCCAAGAACACCATCGTCAAACATGGAGGTGGAAACATTATGCTTTGGGGGTGTTTTTCTGCTAAGGGGACAGGACAACTTCACCGCATCAAAGGGACGATTGGACGGGGCCATGTACCGTCAAATCTTGGGTGAGAACCTCCTTCGCTCAGCCAGGGCATTGAAAATGGGTCGTGGATGGGTATTCCAGCATGACAATGACCCAAAACACACGGCCATGGCAACAAAGGAGTGGCTCAAGAAGAAGCGCATTAAGGTCCTGGAGTGGCCTAGCCAGTCTCCAGACCTTAATCCCATAGTAAATCTGTGGAGGGAGCTGAAGGTTCGAGTTGCCAAACGTCAGCCTCGAAACCTTAATGACTTGGAGATGATCTGCAAAGAGGAGTGGGACAAAAGCCCTCTTGAGATGTGTGCAAACCTGGTGGCCAACTACAAGAAACGTCTGACCTCTGTGATTGCCAACAAGGGTTTTGCCACCAAGTACTAAGTCATGTTTTGCAGAGGAGTCAAATACTTATTTCCCTCATTAAAAGGCAAATCAATTTATAACATTTTTGACATGCGTTTTCTGGATTTTTGTTGTTGTTATGAAAGATCAGCAAATCTCAAACAAAAACTAAAACTAAAATTGTAAATGTTGTGGGTTTACTCTCCAACACACCGGTGTGCTTAAGTAGTATAAACCCCTTACTAGTTGGCTGTGTTGAGTAGTGGGGTGGGTTCACGACACATTCATATTCACGCGATATTTCAAATGAGCTTCTGCGGCCGTCTGGAACGCTCTTCCTACTTCCGATATTAGGAGGCCACCGGAGCTACGCACTTTTAAATCATCTAGATTTAAAACGCATCTCTTTAGATCCGCTCGTTGTTGTTGTGTTTAGTTTGTTGTCAAGAGGTCCTCGCAGTCAATGCCGCACAAGCCCTCACACCTCACCGCTGCCTCCGCAGACCTTACAAAGTCGACAGTTGACCTTCAAGACTTTGTAAAAGAAAAAAACTCCATTTCATTTTACCAGGTAAAGCCCACTTGAGTTATCAGAAGTAAAATAAAATATAAGCGCCCCAAAAGGCCATGACTATGTAGAAGCAGACGCCACCTCTGAGAACAGAACCAACTTTTATTAAATGAGCGGTAAAACCCCACTTGCCCCCCCCCCCCCCACCACTCTCCAATCGTCAACGTAGCCGTAGGGATTTTTTTCATTCATTTTCCGAAAAACCAGGCGCCCCCCCTCCCCCAACTTCCAAAGCGTGCGAGAGGAGTTCCCCCCCCGTGCGGTTAATGACAAAGCAGACGCGAGGCAATGCCCCGGGGGAGCGCCCCACGTCACCACCTGCACCTGCGCTCGCCACGCTCGATAGACACCGCCGATCGCTGGCGCCGCTCGAGCGAAATCCACGAGGTGGCCGATCCGACCGATCGCGCAGGTGGCACTCGCGGGGGATGGATGGAGTAGCATCACCGAGGCCACGGGTGGACAAGGGTGGACAAGGGAGCCCCCCCCCCACCGAGCGAAGATCCCGTCGCAAATCTCGCGACGTCCTCTCCTCGTGGATTCACGGCCCGCACTGGGATCTCTCCGCTGCTTAGAGGGCGAGCATAGCTTTAACTATTTAAACTAAACTTTGTTTGATTTTGCATGCTAAGGCTCACTAAGCGATGTAGCTGCTTTTCAGAAGCGACCTGGCCGCCACAAATGATAGCTCCACGAAGCGGCTAACTGCATGTTGGTTCTAAGTGCGGAGGGAACAACCCGGAGGCCCCGGAGAAAAATCCACGTGAAGAGAGAGATATGCAAACTCCAAATATACAGGCCTCAGGGGTTGGGATCGAACCCACGCCTTCCTTGCTAATTAGGCGAGGGAAATAACATCTCGCCACCGCGGCACCCCATCGCTCCGTAAACAGCTCCACCGCGTGCGCTGTAAGCGCAAGAATCGGCGCGAATCCACGACTGCGGATCGTGACACAGCCCCTACTCGGGACACTCGGCGCGAGCGCTCACCTGGTGTTCCGCCTGCGACGAGTCGAGCTCTCGCGTAAGATTTCACCATCTGAACAAACTGTCAAATCTCTCTCCGTGGTGCTAACGTTAAAATATGCGTCACTTTTTTTCAAATTTTCTTGTTGTGGTTTTCACACCTGATGATGATTGCTTGTGTTGCGGTCGAAACGTCGTGAGAATTGTATTGTTTTATATTTTTATTATTTTATTGTTTCCCTTCTACGTGACTTTACCGAAAGAACCAAGAATATGAATAAGATTTCACCGCTCAAATGCAACGTCGTGCATACGCGAATCTCCCGCACTGGTCCAGCACAACGCCTCCCCGCTCCACCTCCGCGTGGATGTCAAATGACAGGCAGTGGGGAAAGGTCACCGCCACCGCCGCCACCTCCACATTGCCGAGCGCGTGCTCTCGTCGCTATCTTCCGCGGATTGCGTTTCGCGACGTGACGCGCGAGCCGATAAGCGACGGCCATATTCCCAGTCGCCGGCGCTAATACGCAAAAACGCCATTAGGATAAAGCGATTACAGGCGCGAGCTCTGCTCGATAAAATCGAGCAGCGACAGAGAGAGAGGATCTCTCGTCGGTTCGCGGGGGGGGGGGGGGGGTAAAATCACAAATCGCGACGTTCTACTTCGCCTAAAATCGGTTGCAGTTGCTGCCCAAAGGGCATCATCTTCGTTAGGATTAGAGCGACAAGCGCGTGGCCGACGACGAGGAACTCCCCGCCAAACTGCAAATCGGCTGCAGAGCCCAAGCATCTAGATGAGTGGTTCTTAACCTGGGTTCGATCGAACCCCAGGGGTTCGGTGAGTCGATCTCAGGGGTTCGGCAAAGCCCCCGCCACGGAGGTCCGGACACACTTGAATTATTGTGTAAATTTGTGATGACACACACGGCCCGCTTGGCCATCACTGGCTGCAGATGATCATGCTACACTGCTTGGCCAATCAGCGCTGCGGGGAATTTAGTGCGTACTCAGTAGTCAACGTGTGACTGTTGTTGTCGTACATCGTGTGATTTCTTTAATATTTTATCCATACTAACTATGTCGGGCAAAAGAAGAAACTGGTCGGACGAATATGTACAACATGGATTCTCATGTATCACGGAACGTGATGGGAGTGAGCGTCCTATCTGCATGATTTGCAACGCCAAGTTGAGCAACTCTAGTCTTGCACCGGCAAAACTAAAGGAACACTTCTTGAAGCTGCATGGAGACGGGGAATACAAGAACACAACACTTGCTGAATTCAGGGTGAAGAGAGCCAGATTCGATGAAAGGGCCACTCTGCCTGCTCTTGGATTTGTACCTGTTAACAAACCGATCCTGACAGCATCGTACGAAGTTGCTTACCTGATCGCAAAGCAGGGCAAGCCACACACCATTGGTGAAACACTTGTGAAACCAGCTGCATTAAAGATGGCGAATCTGATACTCGGAACAGCGGCCGAAGGTAAATTATCACAAATTCCCCTTTCAAATGACACCGTCAGTGACAGAATAGAAGACATGAGTAAAGACATCTTGGCTCAAGTAGTCGCGGATCTGATTTCAAGCCCGGCAAAATTCAGCCTTCAACTCGACGAAACCACAGACGTTTCTGATCTAAGCCAGCTTGCTGTTTTTGTACGCTATGTGAAAGACGACATGATAAAAGAAGAGTTTTTATTTTGTAAGCCTCTTACAACAACAACGAAGGCAGCCGATGTGAAGAAGCTTGTGGATGACTTCTTCAGAGACAACAATCTTTCATGGGATATGGTTTC